ACAGTAGTGAGGTTGGCCCAGGATCGGGCAGTGTTTTGTTCTGCTGTGCATAAGGTCGCTATGAGTTGGTACCGACTTGATGGTACCTAACAACAACAATAAATTTTCAGATATTTACTACCCTATAGAATTACTGAAAGTTTTGAAGTTAAAAGGATGTTCTAATACTCAAAAAAGGGCCTGAGAAATATTTGTCATAGACTCTGGAATAAAGGCTGTATGAAATGTTTGCTATCTTTGGTCATCTCTTTGACAGTAGTGTGAATAGACTGGCAGCTGACATTTACTTGGTGTGTTCTTTGCTAAGATTTCATGCTCGATCGTATTTACTCATATCTAATACTGACCAAGCTTGCCTAATGCTGTTAGCGGGAGGACTGGGTGCGACCAGTGAGATCACGGCAGAACTGTCCTTCCCACTCTGAGGAACCATTTTCACCAGCCATATAGATTACTGTGGCACTTGTGGCATCATTTATATCTGTTCTCAACAAGACCCTAGGTACCAAACACTCCTCCCACTCCAACCACTGCTCTAGTACCTTTTACTGAATGAGAGCCAAAAAATGTAACCAAGGTGACCATACTAAAATGCCCCCGCTACTTCGAAATTCCACCTGACTCCTATGTATGTATGTCAATACACATGTATGTGTATATTTTAAACTTTAAACTAGTATTTTCCTTCAAACAAGTAGTGTTGGTTCAGGGCACATTTGCTAATGTCATGTGGAGTCCTGGTGTGGCACTGTAGGAAAGCACTGGGTTGCTAGCAGCAAGGTCAGCTGTTCAAACACACCAGTCACTTCTTGGAAACCCTGTACAGGATTGCTTTGAGTTGGAACCAACTTGACAGTACTTAACAACAACAACATGTGGGCAGCAACCTGATAACATTGGTTATACATGATGTTATAATTTGTAAGCTGTCTTAGATGATCTAGGAATGCAAATGAAGTTTAAAATATTCATAATGTGCTATTAAATTTTGTCATCAAATGTTCCCAAAGCAGAGATCATAATGAAAACAGCAAGTCTGT